AAAAAAAAAAAAACAAACCAGAAATGCTGTTGTTTGCTTATAGTATGTTAGGTATTTTAGCATAAAGGTGAGATAACCTTTCCTCCCCAAATATTTGTTGTTTGGGCTGTCACTGGTTACTAACTCTTAGAAATAAATTACTATAATTGGAGTCTTCAATTTTAGAATTGAAGGACTGCTATAATCTATTCTTTCCCATAAATGATAAGATTTAGCAGACATTAAAACTTTTTTCTGATGAGGTATTCAAACATATACAGAGTTTCCAAATTGGAGTTGGCCAGTGAAGACAATCTATTGTGATGGCTTGAAACAAAACAAAACACTAAAGACGAACTTGCACTGGTGTTAGAGCAATTTGGCATGGATATTGTGATGTGTAGGTAAGAGAAAGACCATCTGAAATTCCAACTGAAATATATTGTGAATTATTTTTTTTAAAGTCTTCTCTTGAAAAGGTGAGTTGTTTTGAAACACCTAATTCAGAAATACTAAGTAGATCCCAGTTATATGAATCCAAAGGAGAGACAATATTTAAGATTCCATCCTAAAACGTTTATCTTTTCCATTGTGGTAAATGCCCACTAAAACAACTGAGAGGAGTATTGTTTCATTCTAGCAGAGGAAATAACCTCACCTTCATTTAGAAACTTCCAGAACCCGGGGCACCTGGGTGGCTCAATCGGTTAAGTGTCCAACTTTGGCTCAGGTCATGATCTCACGGTTTGTGAGTTTGACCCCCGCATTGGGGCTCTGTGCTGATGTCTCGGAGCCTGGAGGCTGCTTTGGATTCTGTCTCCCTCTCTCTCTGCCTCTCCCCTGCTCATACTCTGTCTCTCAAGAATAAATAAAACATTTTAAAAAATTTAATAAAAAAAAATTTCCAGAGCCCAAAAAGAGCAGAGAAATTAGGTAGATCACCAGGTTTGCTCTGCCTGTACTGTGGTTACCTAAACCTTAAAATATTGTTGTCATTAAAATTTAGAGAAAGGTAAGCAATGAAGGGAAAGTAAGAAAAGAAAAAGTTAAGAGATTTGAAATACTCCATCCATGGAACTAATCATGACAAATTGTAATAAAGATCATTTACTTATCTCTGATACTGGGAAAAAAAGTCAAAAACTAAAATATTTCATGTGAACCAGAACAGCTTTCTACAATTTAGGGATATTCTCTGTTGTAATGTTTCTTTTTCCTACACTTGGATTTATAAATTTCATTTGCTAGCATCCTTCTCAAATAAGCACTTTATAAGCTCAACTTTTTAGTTAAGAGCCTTTTGTGTAACTCACCTTGTGTTTTATTATTTTTTTTTAATGTTTATTATTGAAGAGATTGTGCACATGCACAGGAGAGAGGCAGAGAGAGAGGGAGACCAAGGATCTGAAGTAAGCTCTGCGCTGACAGCAGAGAGCCCCATGCAGGGCTCGAACTCACGAACCATGAGATCATGACCTGAGCTGAAGTCAGATGTTTAGCTGACTGAGCCACTCAGGTGCCCCTCACCTTGTGTGAGTTCCATGATGACTTTAAACTATATATCTCTTCCCACTTAGCATAAGACTATTTTGCAACATAGTCTCTCTGAGGAAACTACTGCTTCTCTTCCCCACCCTTCCCTAACCAAAAAAAAAAAAAAAAAAAAAAAAAAAAAAAAAAAAAAAAAAGACAAGAAAAAAGGGATGGTGGAAAATGTCCTCTGGTTACTGCTGTTTAATGAAGACAACCATTCTGAACAATTCTGGTGTCTTAAGCATCAGTTGTTGATTTATGAGTAAAGAGACTTGCTAAGAAAGGAACCAGGCTTCAACTGTATGATTTTGTAGCTAGGCACTAAGATATGTGTAAGAACACCACAGTGAAGCCATTGCATTCCATAGTTTTAAGCTTTGCTTTGACAGTGAACCCCAAATCAATTATACAACAAGTAGAACATATCAGGTCACTCTTTCCTACTTACCAGGGAGAATATGATCCTAATTCTAGGAGAATAATCTCCCTTTTAAGGCTTGGCGGTGGGGTGGATAAATTAAATGGAAATTCATATTTAAGCTTAAATTTTGAGATTAGTGTCATCAAATTAACAAGCCTAGTAAAAAGGATGGCGAGGAGTGATTCATCTCACCAAAGAACTTTTTTTGCCTTATTTGAGATTTCATTATTTGATTCGATTTTCACGATTTGATTTTGGAGCTGTTATATAGACTTTGTGCTTGTCAGGTTCTTGCATTCATCTCCAGATGGGGCAGCCAGGGCAATGAATTTAGGTTACAAGTCATATGCAGTCTGCACAACAAATGGAACGAATTTTAAATGGGTTGTTTTCTGGAAGAGTGATGAATTCTTTGGCTTCATTACTTATCAATATAGGAAACAACTTTAATCAGTTGAATTGCCTCCATGCCTTTGTCTTGTGTCTTGCCTATTTCTTGGGTATTTCTTACTAATAAAATCACAGCAAAAAAAAAAAAAAAAAAAAAATTAACGTCAGTACTTAACTTTACAATTCAATTCCATTTTTATTTTTACTTTTATGTAAATACTACATTAAATGTAAAAGATCTTTAAAAGATTGTTTTAAAGTCCATCTCCCTACTTCTACGTTTTCCTTTAAAAAAAATCCATAGTAGTACTGATAAATAGGGCTCAAGGAAATGCAAACTATGCAGAACAGAGGTTTTTTGTTTTTTGTTTTTTGTTTTTAAGTCCAGTGAAGTCTGACAACATTTCAAAATGCCTATATAATTCCCTCAATACCTGGCTTGGCCAACTCTAATTGTTTGAAAAAGTGCTTTTTAAAAAATAATATCTTTGAAGCATGTATAAGTGTGTGTGGGATGGAAAGAATCCATATCTGAATATCTTTATAAAGTAGTTCTTAAAATTTGCAAAGCTATTTACCACTGAATACGCTGCCACTTATACAATCCCTCTCCTTTCAGCTTGAAAGAAAGCAAAGAAAATGGAAATACGGTAGCATAAAGGAAGGAAAGAGTGAAGATAATGAAGGTAGGTCAGTGAGGGACATTTTTTAATCCCTCTTCTCTTTTCCTCTAATATTTCGGGAAACTTCTCAGCAGCTCACATCTATAAGGAAAATATCCTGCTGAGAAAGGCAAAGAATCAGAAATAGAAGGATGTAGGGGGAACACAGGAAGATGTCTGGGGCAGAAATTGTTGGGGAAAGGAAGCCAAGAGAGGAAGATCTATAATTGGATAAAACCAGGCCTCTGCTATATGGGTTTTCTTTCTATAAGGTTAGAATCAAATTTGATTTATATAGAGGAGTGAAGTGATATGGGGCTAGATGAGTGAGTCCTTTTATCATTGACTAGGTTTTATTCCCTTTAAGATTTTGATGAGGAAATCTTATACAAGGTGAATTTGCTTCTTTACTTACACATCTGAGAGTCACAAGCCACAAAAGGTAAAGTTCACTTGATATGTATTAAAGGCTTTATGTGAAATGAAAAGCTACTCATTTAACTGACCCTTTTCCAATCAGCCTTACTTAGTTTAGACTCAATCTTGGGAAATTATCTGGAGGACTCACAGTCCTGATTGTCACCAGGAAGGGTTGGGGGAGTTCCATTTAAGGCTAACCCAAAGTCTCCAATTACTTCTGGACTAAGGATGACCTTGGTTATAGTCAGGGTGCCAGACCTATATATCCTATAAGCAAGAATTGCACTTATCCTCTTCACAGAGCAAAGTAACCCAGTCATTTGAAACAGAGCTTAAACCAGATAGTTAACTGAGCACTGAAGATGCATTTGTCAGTATCCATCTTCAAAGCAGTTCACGGCCAAGCCACAGTCACTGATGAAATAGGCCAGATTTGCCTGTGGAATGTTATCCTGAATGTTTAGCTGGCAGAGACAGGAAGATGGCAATGAAGTGCAGCAAACGCTGAACACTGACCCATAAAGGAAGGTGTGTGGCTACAGTAGTGTCATAGGAAAAGGAGAAGGTGACAGAACATGTGTAGCAGTTATACCCTTATAATAACATACATACACATTTGAGTAGGTGGAATTTGTTAATGTAAGAAAAATTAAAGGAAATTCATATAGTTTGAAATGGGCCCAAAGTATTGGAATAGAGATAAGGATACACTGAAACAACAGTATACACAGACACACATGCTCACATGTATACATTATTTTTGAATTTAGTTTCTACATCTTCCTCTCCTGACTCCACAGCAGCACACAGGTTAAAGGGTTCTAGTAGATTCCAGCTACAGAATTCTATGCTATTCAGAAAATATATGGCTAGCAAAACAGCATCCCTGTTTTCTCCTACGTGGTTTATGCATTCATGACAGTGAAACCTTTAGAAGCAAATGGATGTCAGATACCAATGATAATAACAAGAAATGATACATGAGACTTTTACAAACTTGATTCTAAACCTAATCCTAACTGACTAGATGGTGGTTTTCATCACCTCCATACACACCCTTGCACATCCAAAATAATCCAGTTCAGCTATGTCACAGAGCTAACGTAATATGTCAGGGAGATTTCACAGAAAGAAGTAGTTGGAGGCCATTACAGTCTGGGCACCATAGTCTTTGGGACTGTCTCTCCGTGAAGAAGGCCCTTCCATTGTCAGGCTTAGCTGGAAACTCTGACTTAGAGGGGAGAAGGCGAGGCATGACTAGTCAGAACCAGAGGAGAGGTTGTTGGGAAGCCATTTTCCTCTCATTGAAGTGTTTTATATGGCGTTCAAGTGGACGTCCCCATAGGGAATTTCTGTTGGTGTTTCGGGAGTGATACCTTTAATGATACGCTGTTGAGAAGAAAATATGATGTTATAAACATTCTTATAATTTAACAGTATTGCAAAAATATTTCAACCTTAGTATTGAAACATTTAAATAGCATGTTAATGGCATTTAATAGTAAGTTGGAATAGTCTCATTGACTTTCCTTAAGAAAGAAATTCCCAGGGCGCCTGGGTGGCTCAGTTGGTTAAGTGTCTAACTCTTGATATCAGTTCAGGTCATGATCTCATGGTTCATGAGTTGAGTCCCATGTCGGGCTCTGTGCCTGACAGTGTGGAGCCTACTTGAGATTCTGTCTCACCCTTTCTGCCCCTTTCCCACTTTCTCTCTCTTCAAAATAAATAAACATTAAATTTTTTTTTAAACAAAGGAATTCCCAATTTGCTTTCAAATGTAGATAAAAATGATACATTCAGGGAGCAACTGGCTGACTCAGTCGGAAAGCATGCAACTCTTGGTCTTGGAATCTTGAGACCCATGTTGGGTATAGAGATCACATACATACATACATACATACATACATACATACATACAACTTTAAAAAATGACATATTCAGGAACTACAACCATCTGTAAGCTAAGAATATCACTGTAACACTAATGGGAGAAAATAATGAGCTTTCAATAGAACCCTCCACTGGCCTATAACATGCTTTTGATGACCTGGGTAAGGGCATCCTTTTCTCTGGACAAAGGAGGCCTGCTGTGGCCACACAGGGCCTGGGGAGCAGAGTGAGTGCTGGCCTCTGTCCCCCAGCTCCCCCACCCCTCAGCCAGGCTCCTTGTGCCCGGCACATACACCCCAGGCATGGTGCAGTGCCAGCAGTCACTGTAATGGCTGGGCTGTTACTGATTTAATGAATCTACCTGTGAAGGAGTACTGGTTAATTCATACAAGGGTACAAATTATCATAACTAAGTTGAAAAAGATGTGACCATTTAAGTCATTACTCCTAAAGCAAACTCATGTTGACATAGAACACACTATGGGGAAAAGGTTGAGAGTCTTTAGCTTAGAAACAGCTGAAGTACACAGAAGCTTTAAGACAGATCTAAAATATGTTTGGGCTTGGGTATGAAATATACAGCCCACCTTTTAAAACTTAGCATCAAGGTGACATGAAGCAGCTCAGGGTTGTGAAGAAGGAAAAACAGCACCACTTCAGAGGCTTAGAAAAATCTTTACTGAGTGGCTTAGTAAAATTTTTGATGGCCAAAAGTCTGTATGTATAGGAAGTGGGCAAAATTGGATCTGAAAGTAGTTTTTGATTTATGGATTTTAGGTGAAGCTCTGCTTCTCATCCTTTAGATTTTGGGTTGAAAAAGTATGTAGTCCCCTCTGATCTTTTTTTCTTTTTTGAGTATAGTTGATACACAATGTTACATTAGTTTCAGTCCTTCAATCTTTTTTATTCTTATTTATTTGAGAGAGAGAGAGAATGCACACAAGCAGGTGAGGGGCAGCAGGAGAGAGAAAGAATCTCAAGAAGGCTCCACATGGAGCCTGACAGGGGTGGGGAGCAAGGGGCTCCGTCTCAGGACCATGGGATCATGACCTGAGCCCAAATCAAGAGTGGGGCACCTAACTGACTGAGCCAACCAGGCACCGCCCCCCCCCCCCCATTCAATCTTTTTATTTCCTGGTTCTGGGAGTTCTTTAAGGAGCAGGGCCTATAGAATCCAAACAGTTCTAGCCGCACCATTAATGAAATTAATAAAATTATGTATTTTGTGTTTCTAATGACCTTACCATTCAAGTACTGAAATCTCGCACTAGAAATCCCCTTAAAAAGGAGTTGCTCCAGTCCTCATCAGCTACCGGGACGTGTCAAGCCATAGAAAGTGAAGTTTCACAAACCATCCTTCCCCATAGACGAGTATGTAAATCATAACTGATTAAACAGAATTATGTCTTGGTAATTTGGAACTGGACACAGATAATTGTAACTACTCTTTAAAAAATTTTTTTAATTATTGTGAGAGAGAGAGTGCAAGTCGGGTAGAGAGAGAGGGAGGGAAAGAATCCCAAGCAGGCTCTGCACTGTCAGCACAGAACCCAGCACGGGGCTCGAACTCACAAACAGATCATGACCTGAGCTGAGATTGAAGTCTGTTGTTTAACGAACTGAGCCATCCAGGTGCCCCAATAATTCTAACTACCCTTAAGTGGAGCTATGTTGTGCAGGGAGAGAAGGTGTATGGTGTATACTAAGGTGTTTGGTAGAATGGTGGAATGAACAGCATTGTAAAGTAGAATTTTGGCTTTTGTATTCTAGTCCCTAGCCACCCATTCTGCTGCCCTTCTGGTTGCTGATATCCCAAAATGCCAGGTCCGCTTTTTGCCATATTTTGGCAGCATTCTAGTTGCTGGACTACCATTGCTCTCAAAACTTGCCAGGCCCTGGCCTTTTACAAGATGATAATCTAAGAAAACGGATCACTATTGACGTCTTCATGAATGCTTACTTATTAGGGGACATCTTCCCAGGATCTTTGTGTAGTTTACTGGAGGTTTTTACAACAATGACCTAATCTAGTTGAATGACTCCAAACTTGAGACTTCCAGGATGCAGGTGCATATGCTATCCTCCAAATTCCAGGTGAACAAGTGGTAGACTTTCCACATAAAAGTCCAACTTTTGATCTGCCTAGGGCCCTAAAGAGTTAAGAAATTTACCTTTCTCTTAGTCTTTTTTTTTTTCTTAACTATACCAAAATTGCATATGAGGCCTCCCTCCCTTATAGGTAGAATGTTATGGACCAAGGTATTTTGGTAGCATAATGAGGTAATATACATGAAGACGCTTTGAAAAATATACAATCTTATACAAACTGTAAGGTTCTATGATTAAAATTAATTTTATCATTTTTTTTAAGTAGGCTCCACCCCTACGTGGGGCTTGAACTCACAACCCTGAGATCAAGTCACAACCCTGAGATCAAGAGTCAGATGCTCTACCAACTAAGCCTCCCAGGTGTCCCTAAAATTTTAGAGCACATTGTTCATTACTGTATTAATATTACTATAATGGTAAGTTGTTTTTACTCTAATGCCTTAAGCTAAAACTACTACATCCTTATTTAGTGATGATTTTCAAAATAGCACTCGTCATACTGCTGTTAGAAAAATGGCCATGGACATTTTCCACCATCATCTCTACTTAAAATTCACATACTGCTTCAGACATGACAGATCTGATGTCCATGCCCAATGGCAAGCAGAAGGCAGAGGAGTTATCTGATGAGTATAGAATGCTATACACACCTCAAGCTGTGTGCTGTGGCACATGCAAATAACCAGCTCACTCTTTGCCACTGTATCTGAGGCTTATGGGATGCCTTTTAAGGTGACAGAGGCAGCCGTCACAGGTCTACACCATGGTGTAGGTGAGCTTCATGTGGTGGACTCATCTCTTTCGAACAGAGCATAACAAGACCCTTTTCTCCCAAAACGATTTAACTACTCTGAACACACACACTAGCACCTACCTCTTTAAATGTCCCTGGAGTGATGATCAGCCGATACGTTATATATGTGGGGATGCAGATAAAAGACGAGGTTCCTATGCAGTAACCCAGGATGATACTCCACTGAGGATAATTATATTGGAAAAGTCGTAGCTGTGGTGGGCTCATCAAAAAACTGCAAATGATGAACTAAAACAGAAATACCAAAAAACATTCAAAATCTTAACAATATCCGTGCAGACAGGGACAGTTCTGATACCATGAACACCAAATGCTAAGGCTGAGATCCTCTTGGGAAATTCCCCAGATGTGATCTATCCTGGACTGAGCTCTGACACATGGGATCCACAAATTTCTGTGCCTAAGCAGCAACAATAAAACAGGTTTTATTATTGATTTTCCTTTCCACCCCCCACCTTAACCTTAGAGCAGGGACACCAAGCCTCAGAAAGTTGTTTCTGGGGGAATTACAGCAACCCCTTCAGGGCAAAGGGGAAGAGACCAGCATCTACTAAGAGTGGTTTGGGGCCTGTCCTCCCAGATAGTGAAGACTAAACTGGATGACCTTTCCACGGCTCCTGCCAGTCCTAAGGCTTCATACTTCTCTGCTTTATTCTCTTTTCCTCATTTCTCAGCTGTGATTATTTTTGGTCAGATGGAAGTTAGCTTTGTCCAGGAGAGATACTAAGGTTCTCAAGTCCTGTAGAGGACTTGGGCTCCGGGGTACATGTTCCTACTTTTCCCTTTTCTTGAGCTCTCTGCTTTCTGCATTGAGCACCTCAGCCTGGGGTTTCAACAAGGATGGCTTGAGGCATCTGAACAGTGGGTACCCACCTGCCCCAGGCCCTCATCACGAAAGGAATAATGGAAGGAAAAAGTAGCTTAATATACTTTTTACTTGAAAACTCAGTGAAAATTTCTCCCAAGAAAAATTCTACAGTGTGCTCCCAACACTCCATTTATAAGTTTTCTTATTTCAGTTTGGTTTCCAGAGAGAACGTAAACATCAGTTTTTGCCCAGTAACCACTGGGCCGAAATCATTATTGCTCTTGATTTAATTTTATTTTATTACTTCATAGTCATAAAGAAGACAGTAATGTAAATTATTTGTGTGGTTAAACATCTATTTGTATCTTTTTTTCTTTGTCTGCAGGTAATAAAATGGGAAGCTGTTAAACACATATCCATCTTTCCAACAGTGTTGTCCTAAGTCCAGGAGGAAGCTTTCAAAACAGGAGCCTGGCCAATTGCAAACCTTTCTCTGGACTTACTCTCCTCACCCCAGACCCAGCTACTAAGGAAGCCAGTTTTGGAACATGGAAAGATGGATTGGATGCAGTTAGGAGCCCGGATCTCATCTTGATGTCAGGTGTGTGAAATCCAGCACAGTTCAGAGGGGCCTCAAGCTCTTGGGGCAGAGCCAGTAAGTGCTGCTCCCGACACGCCTTTGCAGGGCCCTCTCTCCTTGCTCATATATAATATTTTCTCTTTTTGTAACTTGGCCTCAGTGAAAAAGAATATTTTTAGTAAGCTACTCATTGTTTACTGAAAGCAGCCTTAAAAAGCCCAGGGCAAAGGCTCTGTTAAGTAAACCCAGAAGTGGAAGACAGATTTGCCTCCTCTTAATTGGGCACTGGAGCACTTGCCTTTAGAGGAAGTGAGTAAAGCAAACATCACAGGAATTGAGTGATGTGCCTGAACACAGATCTGTGCAGGGGTTTTGCTGGGCACAGAAACTCACTGACTGTACACCAAGTATTCACCCAGTCTGTTAGATGACCAGAGGTTCAGAGAAATTAAAAGTACTAAGAACCCAGAGCCAGGACTAGGGTGGAACATGTGAGGCACTCACCTTGGGCACAACATGTAAGTAAATTTTAGCAATCAAGAAATAATACTATGGTGCAATAGTTTAAATAGACAAGATCTGACAGGGCCAGATTAGGGTAAGGTGGGTGAGGTTGGACATGCAAGCACAGGGTCAGATCTTGTGTTTATTTAAAATGAAATCTGTTGATTAGGGACTTTTTTTTTTTAATGTTTATTCATGAGAGGGAGAGAGAGCATGAGCCGGGGAGGGGCAGAGAGAGGGACACACAGAATCTGAAGCAGGTTTCAGACTCTGAGCTGTCAACACAGAGCCCAATGCGGGGCTCAAACTCACAAACCGTGAGATCATGACCTGAGCTGAAGTCAGATGCTTAACCGACTGAGCCATCCAGGTACCCCAAATGGAGACTTTTTTTGCATTAATTTTGGTTTTTTAGAAAATATTACATTAAAATGGTCTTTATCTTGATTACTGAGTTTTTCGGCACTTCCCCTGCTGAATTTTATGCCTGTGGTGAGTGCCTCACTTGCCTCTCCCAAATCTCAGCTCTGGACATCATCTCCTCACTGTGTAGGAAATACTAAAGTAAACAAACAAACAGACATGGCTTCTTCCCTCAAGGAAATAATGCAATGTCTCCAATTGCTTTGAAAAACAAATGAAAGGATTTAAGTAGATTATCTAAAAGCATTGGTAATAATATAAATTAATAATCCACTTATGTCAGAGTTTATGCTTCTAGTAATGGCAGGCTAGGTGGTTCATGCCAACACCCTCACTGAAAACAACTGAAACGTCTGACTTAAAAGAAAAAAAAAAAAGTATATATATATATATATATATATATGTTTTTAATCTACCAAAAAGCACCAGTGAGCTGATAAGGTAATAAGGAACTACCAGGCCAAGATCTAGGGGAACATACCAGAGCCGCTGGGACCTGAGAATTATCTGCTGCCTGGGACAATAGTTGGCTTTGGTTTTAGAAAACTTCAGGGTCCAGGGGAATGGAAGTCAAGAAGGGATTCTGGGGTAGAGAGAGACACAGGCAGCATCGCAGAGGCAAGAATGAACATTCATCTTATATGTTACTGTCCAGATGTATGGGTATAAAATACCAAACAAAGGACTGCCCAGAGAAAGTCAAAAGAGAATACAAAATGGTTTTTTGTTTTGTTTTTGTTTTTAAAGACAGGAAGTAACAGCTATATGCCAAAGGCAGAGACGTCCCAGACACTCCTAACAAGCTGGAGCTGGATGGAAGGACCAGTCCAACAAACTTTCTTGGCTCTAAAAGATTTTAAAATTTTCCTCCAAAATAAAGTTACAGATCAATGAAAGAACTGGAGAGTAATTTGTGCTGATGTGCACAGAGTCACTTTACCCCACACTACCTCAGAGCACACTGGGGATGTCAGCAGGGTGCTTATCCTCCTTTGAGCAAGTTACCTCCTTTCAGAGGGATGCCAGGAGGAAAAGCAGAGGCACGTGCTATAAGGAAGGAGTGAGTGCTGAATGCATCCTGGCAAGTAGGTAACCCTTGGAACTGAATGTTCTCACCCAGGTCCTTTAGCAATAAATGTATTCTACTTCTGACTCAGGTCCATGCTTGAGGACTTGCAGGGGTATTTTTAAGAAAATGAGCCACCTGGGTGGCTCAATGGGTTAAGCGTCTGACTTCGGCTCAGGTCCTGATCTCACAGGTTCGTGGGTTTGAGCCCCACATCAGGCTCTGTGCTGATGGCTCAGGGCCTGGAGCCTGCTTCAGGTTCTGTGTCTCCCTCTCTCTGTGTCCCTCTCCCGCTCGCATTCAGTCTCTCTCTCTCTCTCTCTCTCAAAAATACATAAACATTGAAAAAAAAATGAATACAAAATTACAAGGACCCCTCCCAGGACCTTCAAGAGCAGCTCAGTAAATCTTTCCCAGGTCTTGAATAGGTCTTACTTGTCATGTGACCTGGGACCCTTTAAGGCTTCAATTTCCTTAAATGTAAAATGGAGCATTAGAACTATTAATACTTCGTAGAATTGCTGTAAGGATTAATAGAGCAATGGGTGTAAGTTTAGCACAAAGTCTGGCCTGGCACTTAATGTTCAATAAATGTTATTTATCATTATCACTGAGTTGGGGGATGATGTAATACATGCAGCAGGGACCGAAGCCCAGACTCCTCTACAGTGTTAGAAGTCAGAAGAGGGGGCGGGGAAGTGTGGGGAGCACAGTGACTGGGAGGGGGCATCAGAGGGGCTTTTAGAGTGCTGGTTGTGTTTTTGTTAGCACAGTTTTGGCTACAAAAGTGTGCTCCATTACAAAATTTCAATGACATGTACATTTAAGATTGGCACGCTTTTCCATGTATCTGTTACACTTCAATAAAGTTTACTTTTTATAAGTGTTTGAGTGGGCCATTCTTCAGGGCCAGAAGGAGAGGGAAATGACAACTCACCAGGAGAAACAGAGGGCTGATGGCTACCCAGCAGATCTTCCAAAACCATCCAGGGCTGAAGCCAAGCATTTCTTTCACATCACTGCAGAACTGAGTGATGCCTAAAATCACCCAAAAGAAAAAGAGATTGACTGAGGGAGGACATGGGCTGTTCTGTCCCTTGATTCTCAGAGACAGTAGCAGCTCTGGAATTTCTCCACAGCAGGAGCTCAGGGGCACCCATCTAGTCTGAAAGTGGGACAGAGGACTTGTCACAAAACTGCATTTGATAGCAAGCAACTTTCTTTCTACACAGAGTGGGAGGATAGGTGGACATTTGGGGGGGACCTAAAACCCCCCCACTGGTGCCTCCCCGCTTGGTACCCACACTGCTTTTCTAAGATCTCAGCATATATTTGATTTTACTGTAGAAAAGGATTTTCTAGGAGGGGCGCCTGGGTGGCTCAGTTGGTTAAATGTCCGACCTTGGCTCAGGTCGTGATCTCAGGGTTTGTGAGTTTGAGCCGCCCCTCATCGGGCTCTGTGCTCTCAGTTCAGAGCCTGGGGCCTGCTTCAGTTTTTGTGTCTCCCTCTCTCTCTGCCCCTCCCCCACTCATGCTCTGTCTCTGTCTCTCAAAAAATGAATAAATGGTAAAA